CCCCCTTTTCCCTCACTTCCTCTTGTATGTAATTTTGTATAACCATGAGGGTCTCCTTCCATTTCCATGCAATTTCCCTTCTCTTTCCTTTTACCTCCCACCTCTCACCCCTGTTTAATGTCAATCTTCTTCTCATGCTCTTCCTCCCAACTCTGTTCTTAAATATTTATTTTTAGTTGTAGGTGGGCACATAGCTTTATTTTATCTTTATGTGGTGCTGAGGATCCAACTCAGTGCTTCACATACACTAGGCGAGCACTCTTCCTCTGAGCCACAATCCCAGTCCCAGAATTGACACATCTTACTGATGGATTGATTGTGGAATGTGAGAAACAGTGGTGACATATGGTTTGAGTGGAGGACTCCTCCTGTTTGCAGGATCCAGGGGACACAGGGAAATTGAGTGTACTATGAACTCATTGCTATATATTTGTATTATTGCCTGCATGAAACCATGGGGTTTTGGGCTATATGCACTACCCCTAGTCAGGGGTTTGGGTGGTGCTCTTACCTGGCCAATTGGATTATCAAATTTCTGTGGCCAGGATGATTTTAGGGGGGGTGGGCACATAAATTTTGTTAATCCAGTTGGATTCAAATTTGGGATTCTTATTTGAAGCTTTGGAAAAAGTTCTGTGAGGCTATCAAGTGGGGACTGCCAATAGTCATTTTATCATCATGGATGTGTGTTGGGGAAATTAGAGAAAGGCAGGGGCGTTAGAGGGAAAGAGGTGAGAAATTTACTGAAAAAAGGAAAAGGAGCATTAGGGAGAGTGAGGAGCCAGGAGAGCATTGTTAGAACTTCTGCATTCAGTCATGCCTCTGCTGGCCAGCGCTCCTTCTAAGCCACTTGGAGTTTCTTCTCACATTATTCTCCAACAGTATCCTAACAAATATGTGCACACAGTTAAAAGACTAGGTTAGGACACAGGAAAGAGGGAATGTAGAGGGACACATTTGAGGCATTCCTAGGACCTCAGTGAGCAGGCTAATGAAAGAGGTACCAGAAGTCATCATTCATTGGTCATTCATAAAAGCTATAGCTCTGAGTCCCAGTGACAGTACTAACATGGCACTGAGCCAGGCTTTTCACACATGGGGCAAACTTGGGTTCCCTTCCTGCCCTAGGTCTTAATCACCCATAGATGGGGCAATACCAAGAAGCAGTGAGGTAGATGCTCTTGAAGGCATCCACTCCACTCAGTCCTAGGGATGCTGGGACCTACCTGGGTCATGCAGTGGTCATGCAGGTAGGATCTTCCTCAAAGATATGCTTCCCAGGCCTTCCTACCATTCAAGAGAGAAGGCAGTGACAGCTGGGATAGAAAGGGGTTGGTTGCTGGCTCTTCTCCAAGTGCTTGTTCCACTCTCTCACCTCTCCCTCCCCTACTAATGCACCACATATCTCTCAGGCTTTTCCCCTTCTTTCTTCCACCTCTAACTTTTCAGTGCTTGCTCATTTGGTTGCTGTCCAGATCTCAGTGCTGAATCCACCTTCCTGATGCACAGAGTTTCCTCAATCACAGGCCAGTCACTTCCTGGTCACCTCTACCCCTACTGGGGGCACTGGGCATAAGGAAGAACAATGACAGAATCT